TTATTTGATAATGGAAATAAAATGAATAGATTGACTCCAGATTTCATGAACTCTTCGGGTGTCTTAACTCAAAATCAATCCTATTTGTTTCAAGCTTTTATTTCCTGGTAAAGTTTTGAAATATGCTCATAGATGATTAAATACTACGTATAATTTAACCAAATACTAAGTATAAGCTCTTTGTAATTGAATTGAAAATCATATTAGTTTTGATTTGTTAACCAATATTTACTCTCAAATGAATTAATTTGCTTTCTTTCTAACTCATCTCTATAAAATATCCATGTGTTTAATACAACATTGTAAATGATATTATATAAAAAGGCTTAAAGAACATTTTTTTGCAAACAGGAAGTATACAAAATAATGCACAGAGAAGAAGAATTTCACCATTGCTCACATTTTTTGATTGTCTTGCATTGATACCAAACTGAACTTAAATTGTAGGTGACACACTCATGGACCGGTGGTGCCACTCATTCAATTCACACTAATGTAATGTGTGTTTGACACATGCAATTTCTGATGATTTGGTATTTAAAGAAAAATTTTGGTGGGGAATAAATTCATTGACACAGGATTCTAAAGATTTGAAGATCTCTACATATGCAATGCCCAAGAAATTTTGCATGTAGGAATGTGCCAAATCTCAAAAGACACAATTTCATTATTTAGGCCAGCTGTATTAGCATTATACACGGAGTATATATAGTAAAAGTTCTTTTTTACATCCTACTCCCTCCGTCTCAAAATATAAGCAACATTACGCTAAACGAAGTAATTTTTTGAATTTTTTCAATCAATTTTATTTAAAGAATGGTCTGCAAATGAAAAATAAAACTTACATATTTAAAAATTACGCCAAAAGTTCTACAAAACAAGTGGTGACAAGAATATTTTATTCTATCAAATAATCAATGAAAATACAAAAATAAATAAAAGTTGTTGAGATTTTTAAATAGTGAAGTGTTGTTTATATTTTGGGACGGAGGGAAGTACTTTTTATATAGCCACCAACACACACCCCAAGGCCATTATGGCTAGCTGTATTACCATGAGTCCCGCTAGGGGTACACCACTTGTGTACCCCATATGTGCACACCATATACTCCCCCCTCACCTTTCCCCTACCACTCCCCTCTTTTTTCTCTTCCCATCCAATTTCTCAATCTTATCACTCCATCTCTCTCCTTCGGTTTTCTTTTTTCTTTTCAATTTTTTGTAGATTTGATTCATCGAACATCGCTAATCCTCTACAACAACATAACTCGACGCTGCCATATGTCCTCCCACCCGCCGTCGCTACTGCTCTGTGTCTTCCCACCTGCTGTCGGTGCTACTCTGTGTCTTCCCACCCGCTGCCACCATTGTTGTGGGTCTTTCAACCCACCGCCGTCATAGTGCATCAATGACTGACCATTATTTGGGGTCTAAAATCCACAAATGTTAATTCTCTTATTAAAATTATTGAATTTCAATGTTTAGGCCTTTTCAATTTTCAGGTTATTTGTGTCATTAAACTTTACAGATAAAAAATGTTTTTGTGATAGACTTGATGAGTATTTTTTGGATTAGACATAATTCACCACCCTTATCAACAATAGGAAGGATCATAAGTGATGTTTATATGTGTGTATGTTTTCACAGACAGTATGATATTTCCAGTACTATAACATAGACAGAGAATGTATGTGTTAATTGAAACTGAAGAGTTTGAGTGTTGTGATGAATGTTTTGTTGTTTGACAGATTTAGTAACATGTGGATGTTATTAGAGATGAACATATTTTGCCAACCATTTTGGACCCTACATGTTCGAAACGGAAGAGCGTCCACGTAAGATTTGATTTAAGTCAACAAAAGAGAAAATTACTCGCAAACAAAAGGTAAACAAGAAAGGGTGATGCAATCAAGATAACGAAGATCCATGTCAAATGTCAAACAACCCTTACGATCATTTTGGAGTTGGCACTGGAGAAAAAGTTCCACGTCAAAGGTCAAATAAGCTTTCCAAGCGTGTTCGAGTTCCAACGCAGGCATGGGAAGTTCTAGATGAGGATGAGGTTTTTGAACTTACCATTTTAAATCTGAACTTCTGTTTAGGCTTTCCATAAGTTCGAAGCTTATGGTTCCCATTTTTTGTGTATAAAAGGTTTTGCATTAACTCGTGTAGTCATTCAACCTTCACTAGAAGTAGATAGCTTTGTCATAGGTTGTTTGTCATAATATGTACATGTTAGTAAGTTTATTAAAAAAATTAGTTTTATGTCATACTATTTAAGTGTCTATTTATCATTACAAATAAACACATATTGTCTGTTACTTAGTAGGTAACCTTGTGGAAGGTCTACCTATGAAATTTTTTATTTCCAGTACTTGTGTCATATTAAGACCTTTGTATTGGGAATCACATATTTTGCATTTGTATTGGTTAATATAACACATATCTCGCATCCACTTGTTCCAAAAATCATGAAATGTCCTTGTAATTAGATTATTTGGCACATTTAATGTATTGAATATGTTTTGTCATGAATGTATCAAGCTACTAACGCGTTGTAAGAGGGCTATTGTCAATGAAGAAAAATGAAACAACGAATTAACCAACACGTTGACAATATGTAGAATTCACTTCTACATGCAGTTAACATCGTTAATTCTTATCCAAAACATCGTTAATTAAACATTCACAAACACTACACGTTTGTAACTAGAAATTGACAGAAAATTAATGTCTATGGTAATAGAGACTTAGTGTATGTCTTCAAAGAGATTAATGCAACAAAGACATTTTTTATCAAAAGATACAAGAGGAGATGAGTGAACTAAATCAAAGCCCTTAAAAAACAAACACCTTACCCTCTACAAGCTACCAGTGAAAACAAATTCTAACAAAAGGAAAATAATTGTACAATCGGCATTGCAAATATAACATACAAAATCTTCCACCATTACAGTATGTTCTTAATTTTATAATTTTTAAAAACTCAATTAAATACCAAGGCCAATCACCTACACTAAAATCCAAAACAGGTTCTTAACATAGTAGAAATCCGAAAGCAGCCATCTCCAATCTTCCAATGTTCAATCTTCCACGCCAAAAGCAACCACAAGAGAGCACGAGTCCAACTCTGAAACTTAACAAACAATTAAGAAATATCACTTCGTTTGGAACACATTTTAGAAGCTATTGGAATCAGATGAGGAGATTTGAGGGATATTGGTAAACTTTTGCGGAGATGATAGTGTCTATTAAATGTGTTATAGACATTACGTGTCTGTAAGATTTTTTTCACAAACATAAAATGTCTGTGAGAGTGTAGATAAACTATCTAGACCTCTTGTCACAAAACATTCCAACCAATGTGAAATCTAAAAAATATTTCAGCTTACTAAGAAATCTGAAAATATTCTACACATAAACTTTACAGATAATGTGAACTAGTGACCGATTACCTCACAAACATTCACTATCATTGAGTTGACATATCTTTCAAATATACATGTCAAAAGCAATGTAGCTATCAAGACAATGAATAAAAGATCCAATAAAAAGCACTTTAGAGACTTTTTATACCAAGTTTTGAAACTGAGTAGACTTTTAACTGGAAAACAGGCATTCTACGCCAGTAATAAACACATCACAAACATTTTAGAGTAATTTATCAATCAGAGCAAGTTCTTTTTTAGAATACAGACATTTTGTGCCAACAAGAAGCACATCATAGACATTTCAAAGCAAGTTATGAAATTGAGCAGACTTTTAAATAAAATACAAACATTTTTGCACCAATAACAAGCACTACACAGACATTTCGTTATAAGCGTGAAAAATTTCCAATTACCACAAGTTTTTAACAAAAAATCAACCATTGAAAAGATTAAAAAAGAATTAAATGACTGAACAAGTTTGAGAAGAAATGATTCAAAAAAAACATTTAAAAAAGACTAATTTTACAAGAGGGAAAGATTGATTTGTGGTTAGAATTAAATGATTGAATCTAGCTTTACAAATAAAAACCCTAAAATTGAAATAAAAAGTGTTTATTATAACCTTTAGTTTGCTGTTGTACGGTGTTCAGGGCGCAGAAGATCGAAGAAGATGAAGGATGAAGTTTCCGCCAAGTTGGATCTTCCACTGATGCACCAGACGGAGGAAGGCGAAGTAGGCGATGTCACTGCGAAAGAACGAGGAAGACGAAGGGGGAATTCTGGGAGAAGGGCTGAGCTTCCCTAGAGAGATCTGCGAGAGAGAGAGGGAGAGAGAAAGAAAGCAGAGGGGGATAGAGAGAAGAAAGAGGGAGGGGAGTATATGGTGTACAAACGGTGTACACGAATGGTGTACACATAGCCTTTTCTGTATTACCATATATAAGCGTGTCAAATAGTGAATTTTGAGAAAAAGTACCCACCTAGCCACCAATATTCACCCATGTCATTATGGCATTACGTTATCCCATGCACACGCTGACCAAGACAGCTGAATTGACAGGTTGGAGAAAAGCTTAAGCCCATTAACACACCAAAACTAAAAGCCCATTAACACGCAGCCCATTTTTCATTGACCCGGCCCATATATTTGGGCAGGAACACTGTTCAAAAATGTCTCACACCTTTGTATAGATTAAGATTAAGATTAAGATTGGTCTTCTCCGTAATATTCGCAACATTTTTTTTGTTTTCCCACCGCATGTAATGTCTGGAGGTTGGAGGGGCTTTTTGTCATTTTAAATGTTCAAACGTGTGAGGTAATAGGATCAGTCCTAGATTGGGAAAACAACCATGTTTTGGTCCTATTCTAATAATTTTCTCGATTGAATACATTGATATTTTAAATGATTTTTTTGAACACTCAAATGACTCTTTAAAATTTTGATTGACCTATAAAATTTAAAAAAACATAAAAATTCTACAGACTCTACGACCAATGCACCCTCCAAAATCTTACCAAATGCTTTCCCGAGCATTATCTTAATCATGTTGGAGTTTAGTAGTCGAGATTTACGAAACATTATCTTATTAAGAAAAAGAAGATGAAAAGTAGATAATGATAAAAAAACATGTTAGGAAATGTAAAAATTTTGAATTCAAGCCAACAATTTAGAACTGTTAAATTTCCACAATTGTCCCCTGAACATATTCCAATAGAAAATTCAACAGAAACCAAACACAACAATCTTCACCTTCTGCCTGGTGAAGAGTGCAAACAAAGAAATTACATAACATGAACAATGAAGAAGAAGTCTCTTCCAATTAGAAAACTCTTTAACTGATTTTCTTTTATTCCGCCGGAGCAAACGAGATTCATTTCGGATCACTCTTCAGCCAAAGGCACCGCTTCCGCCTGCACGGTGCAACGAAATGCGTTATTAACAGTCAAAAGAAATAATTCAACCAAAAGTTCAAACTTATAATTGTAAGTCCTTTATAATTGTAAGTCCTCGAAAGGAATTTATCAAGGAAATAACCCACCAGCTTGCGGTATTTGAGAGCGTAAAACATTTCCAAATACCGACGCGTCTCAAGCCGGTCCAGCTTGGAAACATGCTTCCAGAACCCATAAACTGCCGCCAGCGTCAACAGCCTGTCCGAGTATATTTGCCACGTGTACCTAAATCGTAACGAAAAAAACATCGTATCAGGTTGACATTTTAGGAGGACGGAAATAACTCTTGAGTTCTATGATTCAACAACGGCTTCTTACTTCTCCTGGATGCGTTTGAGGCCGCCGGCAGAAATGGCCTCCCAATGGGAAGGATCCTTCTTGCACGTCTCGAAGAAGTTTGCAAGGAGCTCGGCAGCATGTTCGCCGTGGTAAGGGTCAATGTGGAAACCGGACTTCCCGTTCACAATAATCTCGGCAGGGCCACCCTGGTTGGTGGCGAAAGTGGGCAGACCGCAGGTCATGGCCTCGACCACGGTCAGCCCGAACGCCTCGTAGAAAGCAGGCTGGACGAAGGCCCCACGTGTGTCGCAGATGTACCGGTAGAGTTCCCCGTTCCTCACGCGGTTCATCTGGGATGAGATCCACCTGAACTGCCCGTTCAGGTCGTGGGTCTTGATTAGCTCGTGCATCTTCTTCATCTCCGCCTGCTCTTCCAAGTCTTTGGATTCCTTTCTCCTGTCCCCGCCGACCACCACCAGATTCGCCAGTTCCCTTAGATTTGGGTTCTTCGCGTACCACTCAACCAGTCCTGTCAAGTTCTTCACCCGGTCCAACCGAGCCATCGTGAATAAGATTGGCTTCTTCCGGTCCTTGAGCACACATCTGGGGGCCAAAAGTCATAAGACACTTGAGCCAAACCAAACTAAAAGACTGAATTCGAACGACATTTCTAGTGGACAACTGGGTAATTTTGAATATAACCGGTTGACCATTTGCAAAAAATACTTACAGGTGCTCTTCATTCTCAACATCACTAAACAACAAGTCTTCAATCTCAGGATGAAGGGCGGTGAGTCGCTTCTCCTTCTCAGAGTAGGGGAAGTACAAGTTCATATCGGCTCCTGGGGAGACGATGTTGAACTTGGGGTCAAAAACGTCAACTCCGTGGACAACTCTGTAGAGTCCCGGCATTGTGAAAGCCTGGTGGCTCTCGTATTGTCCAATTGTATCCTTGCTGAAAAACCAAACAATGATTAGTATTAAAAAAAAGGAGATTTCAGTTAGTTTGGAGAGAATTAAACATAAGCAAAGGAGAAAATAACAATACCTTCCAGCAATCTCTTGGAAGGTGCTGGTGATTATGAAATCAGTATGGTTCATGGCAATGAGATCAGCAGTGAATTGGCATGAGAAGTGATATTTCTCATCAAACTTTTTCAAGTAAATGTCGGAATCCGGGTATTTCGTCTTCTCCAACGCATGCGCAATTGTGCACTGCAGAATCACGACGGTTAAAAAACCTTTCTTGGGTTTAAAATCAGAGATTTGAACATTTGGTTGAATTGATTTCTTAGCAGACCTGAGTGACGCCCAACTTGTGAGCCAGCAAGGAGGCAACAAGGTTTCCCTCGCTATAGTTTCCAATGATCAAATCAGGTTTTGCCTGCAGCTCAGCAGTGATCTCCTTTGCAACATCCTGCAGTTTAAATAATATTTCAAACAAAACAAACATGTATTAGCAAAAAGCATACAAAACCAGAAGGGAAAAAAGAGGTAAAATCGCTCAATTTTACCTCGGTGAAAGTCTCCATGTATGGCCAGACATCGAACCGGGAGATCCATTTTCGAACAATTCCCTTCTCATTCCTAAAAGGGATTCTCAGAATGTGAGAGTGCTCCGCCCCGTACACTTTCTCAAGGCGCTGCCCACACGTCGTCCCAACTGCATCCGGGAGCAGCCTAGTTATCTGTTTTTTTTAATAAAAAAAAACATCATGTGTTAAAACAAAAACAAACAAAAAAAACATCTATAATATCATATGCTGAAGTTGAATCTTCCAGGAAAATAGAAACTAACAATGAGGATCCTCGGTTTGATATCGAGTCCTTGCTCCTTGATGCGCTTGATCATCTCCCGCTCCAATGCTGGAACTTGATCCAAAATGTAAACAACCTGATGAATCGTATATGAGAAATGAGCTATCAATTTTGGTGAACGAAGAAAATCACTTCCTCCCTCAATTCCATATTAAATGCCCACTATGACTTTCTTGATAAATAAAAAATGAATGAAGGTAGACATACTCTATGTCTACATTCATTCATGTTTCAATGTACCAAGAAAGTCTTAATAGACAGTTAATATGGAATAGAAGGGGTATTAGTTATTACTCCACCTGGCCACCGGTGTCTGGGTACCCCAACACGTTTTCTTGGGCGAAATAGCCGTGTGGGGAAAGGATCACGACATTGAAAACCATAGGGATTCTCCCCAAGAACCTCTCAAGAGTGCAAGAATCAGGGGCCTCTAGGAGGTCCAGAAGCATGCAAATCATCTCCATCACCCTCTCCGCGGTGTCTCCCCATCCCCTCTCCAGCCCACTCTCTTGGAACCAGTATTCGAATTCAGAGTACGATGTTTCGGGAGGCAGTTTGCTGAGGTACTCCTCAGCCTTCCTTAGCACGCTTTGAAGCGTGTTCAAGTTCTGGATTCTGTCATTCAACATCATGGTCTGCAAAAAAACAGAACAAAATCATTTCTTGAGCCTAAAACTACAAGCTTGAGTATTGGTCTTTGAGGTTCTTGAGCTTAGCTACCTTTCCTTTGTACTGGTGAACGCGGAGGAAGTCAAGGAGTGGGGCCATGCTCTCCTTGTCATGGAACATCTTCGCCGAGAGATGGCGATTGAGGAACTCAACTCCATTCCCTATTGATTTTGTGAGTGTGGGCTTGGGAAATGATGCATTGAATGGCTCAAAGTCAAGCTCAAGAACAAAGTTACCATTGTTGCTGGATCAAAGAACAGACAAAATCACACATTACTATTTTTAAAAACCATATGATGAGCAGTAAGAGAGAGAGAGAGAGAGACTCACACTCCATCAACAAGCTCTTCTTTGAACTGCAGATACTGAGGAACAGTGAGTTCCTCCACAGCCAAGGCGTGAACATTAAGCCGTATGTATTGCCAAACACCGGGTCTCGTACGGATTGCAAGAGCAACCCATGGTGACAAAACAATGGCTTCCTGTTTACAACAATGAATGTAACCTTAATCTTAATAGGGACATTATTAATTAGTAATCAATTACAAGATCTATAAAGAGCCAATTCAATCAAGCTAATTAAGAACCATAAAAGGAAAGCCAAATCTACCTGTGTGCACTTGAGAACTTCCTGAAAGGAATGATCATTCAGTTTGTCCTGATCACTTTTGCAGATGGACTCAAACTCAGCTAAGAGCTCGTGGCGCTTCAAGATTCCCTTCCCGTGGCTTTCAATCCTTTAAGGAGAAGCCAAGAATGAAAGAAGAAGAAAAAAAACAGAATCTTTGTCATAATTAAACATAAAAAAGATCATCATCCAAGAAACCATTATTAATATAAACAAAAGACCAAGAAAACATCATCTTCTCACCTCGACATGAACAGCAAAATCTCATTGCGGTGAGCGGCCAATGTAGAATCAAGGCGCTCCCTGAGGCTGTGGACTCGGGTCAGGACATGTTCAGCCATTACAACAAATGCTCAACTGCAATAAGAAGAAGATGAAGAAAAATTTGTGAAGACTGTTAATAAATGTTGATCCTCTTTGGTAAATCCAACACAAGAACTTATACTAGTTGCAGAATGGAAGAAAGAAGGAAAAATATTTCTAGAAGGCCATTAATTTTCAAACCCAAAATACAATTAAAAAACGTCCACGTTTTTATCCATACACTGTGCTAGATATATTAAGTCTTAGTCAATCCCGGCCAACCGATTTAAAATGAACCAGCTTTTGACCTTTCTTGCCTAACAACAACAAAAAAAAAAAAAAAATCTTTTTTTAAAATAAAAAAACAATTCTTTGGCCGTGCAGCAGAGCTTAGATCTGATATGACATCTGAAAACGCGTGAAAATGGAGCGGAAATCATAATTTTATAAAATGAGATAAAGACAACTACTTTAATGAAGAAAACATAAAAATGATGTTTTTTTTTGAAACCTCAAAAAAGAAGAACCAATGCAGAACAGTTTGCAAGGGGTCAAAGAGAGAAATGTTTGCGTTAAATAGCACTAAAACTTAAGTCATTTTTCTAAATAGCACTTAAATTGTTTTATTCCTTAAATAGCATTTAATAATGTCCATAATGACCAGTGATAACAAATATTTACTTGAATAATGACTAATGCATAATAACTAAAAATGCTACATTGGAAAGAAAAACACATGTAGTGCTATTTAGAGGAAATCATTATGTTTAAGTGCTACTTAAGTAAATTCCTCAATGAAAGAGTTTTGGTTTGATGATGGGAAAGGGAGTGGACCAAAAGGCCTTTTTTTATACCCGGAGTACTAAAAAAGAGGGAGTGGAATAAAGATTCTTTTTTTCCTTTGTTTAACAAGATTAATACTCTCTTCGTCCTAAAATTAACTTCCCATTTTGACTTTTGTAGTCAAACTTTTTAAACTTTGATCGTATATTACGGAAAAAATACATTGAATTTCCATATAAATTTATTAGCAATAAATTCATTTTGAAACGTAGTTTTGAAATATATAATTTTTATAAAATATATTTATATAAAAATTGAGATATTGATGGTCAAAGTGACGCATCGAAGACCGTGAAAAATCAAATGGAAAGTTAATTTTAGTACGGAGAAAGTATTTAATACAAGAAGATGGTAATGATGATGATAATTGGGTGGGCTTCTTGCTGGTATTAGATGCATTTGATATTTTAAACGTTTCAAGGCAAATGGTTTTGCTTGTGTTTCCTCATCTTAATCAATAACTCAAATTTCGAAAATATTTTTTATATTCCAATAACACCTCTCACGTGCACATAACATTTATTTGTTTGAGGCTTGCACGTAAATATTATTTTTTTGGTAAAGTAATTGAAAGGAATTCTCTGATAAATTGTTTTTCAACACAAATAATTCTATTATGATACAGTATCTGTTCATATATTCTCGATCAACATATTAAGAAAATAGAGTTATTACCCTCGCCGGGAATCGAACATGTGACTTCTCGTATAGAGAGAGTAAGCATCATACCGTTGGACCACAATTCTCTGATTTCGATCGTTAAAAAATCAAGTGAATCAAAAGTTCAAACTCGTAATTAAAAGCCCAATAAAAATGTTGTACTCTAAGAATGAGTGTTATAGAAACTTCTTCCCTCCCATTGCAGAAAGAAGCACCAGCTTTGGTTTTCTGCTTATTTTTTTTCCTGTGTACCAATAACTCGTTTGAATGGTTTAATCTAAATCCAATGGGCACCTTTATTTTCCACTGCTGACTTTTTTTGAATTGTTTTCAGACTTTTGTTGGGTAGTCCTTGAGCATTTTACGGACCAACGTGCTGTGAAATATGGAGTCCTTAAATCATGTTTAACTTATTAGTCCACTGACTTTGTTTTTCTTTCTTTATTGATGAAGGCCATGTTAGGCCTTGGTGGTGACTCCGTCCGTTTCTTATTTATTAACAATGTCAACCTCGTTGATCCTAAGGTCAAATTTTGGCAGCTAGCGGTAGTGTGGGAGTTCTATTATTTGTAATGGTTCCTTGTGCGCACCGGGTTCGGGGCAACCTCTCTAAAGATCAGATTGAGACTATACTATGATCTCCGTCCTCGTAATCTTGTCGGGTTGGGGTGTGGGCGACCAGGGTGGGTGTTCCACCTTTTTTATTTATTAACAATGTGCACGGATCCACTTGCATAAGAGATTCAAGAACTTGGTCAAAACCATTTATAAATTATTTTTAATTTAAAAGTTATTTGATCAAGTATTATTCATAAATCAAAGAATAAACGGCCCGGTTCTAGTGACACCGGAGAACGGTGCCACTAGCGGTGCCACTGCCTTTTTGGGGCACCTCCGGTGCTCTGTTCGTAAAATTGACGGTTCCTACCCCCCTAACCTGTTGGAGTTGTGCCCTGATGGCCAACTGTTCATCGTTATTCTATCATGTATAGGCAGATATAATATTTTTACACATCTCATGCTAATGTTAACAAATATTATATTCCTAGATTTATATTTAAAAGATGTTTATAAAATAGTGTTTTTCTGCTGATAAGACTAACATCTTGAAATAAATATTTATCTGAATGTCCATAGTCGAGTATTAACGAGAGTGGGATATCGTTAATGCATGTGAGACTAGTGTGTGTTGGATGTTTGACTTAGTCTCATAGTCAATGACAATGTGTTCGCATCCGCACATGGGCAGATATTATCGGGAGATAATAGGATGCCGGACTGACCCATCCTAAAGATTTTGCTTGAACTTTTAGTTCATGCTCTAAGCATCTTTAACACGACCACGGGTGTAACTATCCTTCGACTTGAAGTCTTACGTTTTCTGCATATGTGAACCTGCATGCTTTGATGCATTGTCCTAAGCCATATGAAATAAGGATGGTATACAGGCTTTGTTTTGGGTATGCCGCAGCGCGTATTCAGAAACGTAGATTACGTACATACGATTTGTCACTACTCTTTTTAAGAGACTAATGTCTTATGGGGCCCACTGATAAATCATGAGTGAGGAAATTGCATGGCCGTGCTGAGATGTTTTTATGACGGATCTGTTCCTATCAGTCAGACTTGATAAATTAGTGAATGACTTAATGGATACAAGTTGGATTTTATTAATTTCTTGCATTAAGTTTAGACATTGAGACAAAGGGATACAGTTACATGGAGTTTGAGTCGTAGAAATTAAAAGTTTTGGCAGTGCAAACGTCTTAACTTATAATCTGGGGACAATAATGTGTTGCTAGATACCGCTTATTGCTTACAGTATTGGTGTAGAGCCAATACTGTGACCAGCTTTATAAGTGCATATACGGGTCACACATTTTGGACAATTTAAGGAGTAGTATTAAACTATGGGATAATAAATAATTTGTATATTTGTAAAATAGTAAAATAAAATATTTTGGAATATAATATTATATATATGTAAAACATTCAGTAATATATATATATATATATATATATATATAAAACCCGAAAACACCACCAAAATCAGTGGGGTAAGGTCCAGGCAACCCTTACCGAATTTATTGATAAAATCATAGAGTTACACGTTCGGGGAGGACTAGACCGAAGCCCCGAAGGTTGAAACCAAAACTTACACAACACAAAAAATACAATACATCAAATCCAAGAAAATAAAAGATAGGCAAAACTTAGACAACATCATGTGAGTGTTGTTGCAATTGATTTCCCCCCAAGCGCAAATATCTGAATTCCCGAATTAACCAGGCTCTCATCTCTGATCATCCATCTCTTGTTACGGTATTTCCAATTCCACAAATTCATGTTGCTCTTAATGTTATAGATTATATTGTTGGTATTCAGATCTTCGTTACCGAATGAAATTGCAGAATATTGCTTCCAAATACACCAAGCAATAACTCCTGGCATCACCAATTTCATGTTCCCACGAAGTGTATGGGTTTCTGATCTGAGGTGCCATTCTAAAATGTGTTGCTTGATGGTTGTAGCAGGTCTGATTCTAGGTCCCTCTTTTATATCTGCTATTTCATCCCAAATATATCTGATCTTACCACATTGAAGAATGCAGTGGTCTACTGTGGCTTCATTCTTTTTGCAAAAGGGGCACTGAGAGGGCAGGCTATAGCTC